TCCATTCGTGATAAAAACTCTCAACAAAATGGGTACAGAGGGCAAGTACCTCAACATAATAAAGGCCATATATGAGAAACTCACAGTCAATATCATACTTAACAGAGAAGCTGAAAGCTTTTCCTTTAAGATTGGGAACAAGACAAGGATGCCCACTCTCCCCACTTTTATTCAACATAGTTCTAGAAGTCCTAGCCACAGCAATCAGTCAAAACAAAGAAATAAAAGGCATGCAGATTGGCAAGGAAGAAGTTAAACTGTCAATGTTTGCAGATGGCAGATATTGTACATAAAAAACCCTAATGAATCCACTCCAAAAGTACTAGATCTAATATCTGAATTTAGCAAAGTTGCAGGATACAAAATTAATACACAGAAATCTGTTACATTCCTGTACACTAATGATGAACTAGCAGAAAGAGAAATCAGGAAAACAATTCCAATCACAATTGCATCAAAAAGAATAAAATACCTAGGAATAAACCTAATGAAGGAAGTGAAAGACCTATACTCTGAAAACTACAATACACTCAGGAGAGAAATTAAAGAAGATACTAAAAAATGGAAACAAATCCCGTGCTTATGGATAGGAAGAATTAATATTGTCAAAATGGCCATCCTGCCTAAAGCAATCTACAGATTCAATGCAATCCATATCAAAATACCAACAGCATTCTTCAATGAACTAGCAGAGATAGTTCTAAAATCCATATGGAACCACAAAAGACCCTGAATAGCCAAAGCAATCCTGAGAAGGAAGAATAAAGCTGTGGGGAGTACACTCCCCAACTTCAAGCTCTACTACAAAGCCACAGTAATCAAGACAATTTGGTACTGGCACAAGAATAGACCCACAGATCAATGGAACAGAACAGAGAGCTCAGATATAAACCCAAGCATATATGGTCAATTAATATACAATAAAGGAGCTATGGACATACAATGGGGAAATGACAGGCTCTTTAACAACTGGTGTTGGCAAAATTGGACAGCTACATGCAACAGAATGAAACTGGATTATTGTCTAACCCCACACACAAAAGTAAACTGAGAATGGATCAAAGACCTGAATGTAAGTTATGAAAGCATAACTCTTAGAAAAGACAACATAGGCAAAAATCTCCTGAATATAAACATGAGCAACTTTTTCCTGAACGCATCTCCTTGGGCAAGGGAAACAAAAGTAAAAAATGAACTCATGGGACTACATCAAGCTAAAAAGCTTCTGTATAGTAAAGGACACTATCAGCATGAAAAAAAGGCATCTTACAGTATGGGAGAATATATTTGTAAATGACATATCTGATAAGGGGTTAACATCCAAAATATACAAAGAATGCACATGCCTCAACACCCAAAAGGCAAATAACCTTATTAAAAAATGGGCGGAGCATATGAACAGATACTTCTCCAAAGATGAAATTCAGATGGCCAACAGGCACATGAAAAGATGCTCCACATAGCTAATTATCAGGGAAATGCAAATTAAAACCACAATGAAATATCACCTCACATCAGTCAGGATGGCCAACATTGAAAAGACTAGGAACAACAAATGCTGGCGAGGATGCAGAGAAAGGGGAACCCTTCTACACTGCTGGTGGGAATGTAAACTAGTTTCACCATTTTCGAAAGCAGTATGGAGGTTCCTCAAAAAACTAAAAATAGAAATACCATTTGACCCAGGAATTCTACTTCTAGGAATTTATCCATAGAAAACAACTTCTCAGATTCAAAAAGACATATGCATGCCTATGTTTACTGCTGCACTATTTAAAATAGCCAAGATATGGAAGCAACTTAAGTGTCCATCAGTAGATGAATGGATCAAGAAGATGTGGTACATATACACAATGGAATACTATTTGGCCATAAGAAGGAAACAAATCCTACCATTTGCAACAACATGGATGGAGCTGGAGGGTATTATGCTCAGTGAAATAAGTCAGGCAGAGAAAGACAAATACCAAATGATTTCCCTCATTTGTGGAGTACAACAACAAAGGAAAACTGAAGGAACAAAATAGCAGCAGACTCACAGACTCCAAGAAGGGACTAGCAGTATCAAATGGGAGGAGTGGGGGAAGGTGGGTGGGGAGGGAGGGAGAAGGGGACTGTGGGGTATCATGATTGGTGCACATGGTGAGTGTGGGGTTACAGGGAAGACAGTGTAGCTCAGAGAAGACAAATAGTTACTCTGTGGCATCTTACTACACTGATGGACCATGACTGCAATGGGGTATGGGGTGGACTCAATAATAAGGGTGAATGTAGTAACTACATTGTTTTCATTGAAAACCTTCATAGGAGTGTATATCAATGATACCATAATGAAAAAAAAAGCTACAGCAATCAATTCAGTGTTAGGCCTGAAGACAGACATATGGATCAGTGGAACAGGAACTACTAAATCCTTACATGTATGGTCAACTGAATTTTGAGAAGAATGACAAGACAATTCACAGAGAAAGAAAAGTTCTTCTCAACAAATAATACAAAAGTCTGAACTTGGCTCCCTTCCTTACACTACACACAAATACTAACTCAAAATGGATCACAGAGTTAAATGTAAGAAGGAAAATAATGAAATGCATGAGATTCTGCTTCACACCGACTATGATAGCTCTAATGAAAAATATAATAACAAGTGGTGGTGAGGATGTGGAGAAGTTGGAACCCTCAAACATTGCTGGTGGGAATGTTAAAACAGTACAGCTGCTTTGGAAGAAGTTTGGCAGTTCCTCAAAATATTAAACATGGAGTTACCACATGACCCAGCAATTCCACTCCTAGGTACCTAACCAAGAGAAATGAAAATCTATGTCCACACAAAAATATCTATAAAAATGTTTACAGCAACATTATTTATAACAGACAAAAAGTACTAGTGATAATGTCCACCAACTGATGAAGATATAAATGTGGTCTATCCATACAATAGACTATTATTTGACAATAAAAAAAGAATTAAGTACTGATGCATGCTACAACACAGATGAATCTTGAAAACATTATGCTAAGTGGGAGAATCCAGATACACAAAAAAACCACATACCACATATGATATGGTTCCATTTTTATGAAATGTCCAGAACAGGCAAATCAAGACAGAAAGTAGACTTGTGTTTTCTTAGGGCTGGAGGATGGGAAGCAATGAGAAGTGATGGCTAGTGAGTCAGGGTTTATTTCTGGGATGGTGAAAGTGTCTTACAATGGATGGTCGTGATGGCTGCGCCACTCTCTGAATATGCCGAAACCCACTGAATTGTACAATTAAAATGGGTGAAATGCATGCTATGAATTATATCTCATAAAGGTGTAAAAAACAAATGGAAAGTGCTTGGCCCAGTGTGATACACAGTGCACCACAGCTTCAGCTATGCCCATTTGTAAATGCATCATCAGAGACATCAGAGCTGAAGGCAGGAACTATGCCTTTAATAGGTGTGTTCAACGTGCGCTATACTCAGCCACATGTTGCCTCAAAATGGAAATTTTTCAAATCAGGAGTGATTGGGCCTAAGACCAGAGACGTCTCATGGAGGGTAACTAGTGAGTGGTCAGAGCCAAAGCAGCCGGGAGTTGGGTACTTCTCAGTAATGAGCCCCATGCCTGCTGCCCATTGGGAGCTGGCCCATGGAAGGTTCCACTGAGAGGGGCTCAGTAGGAGAAAGGAGTAAAACGGCCCAGGAAGGGAACAGAAAGTACCTCTAGGACCAGATTTTGAGGGCAAATATGTAAGGGACAAAAGGACTCTTTGGGGGAAGGGGAGAGAGAGGAGGAGCAGGCAAAACAAAACAAAATGGCAAACAGAGGCAAGATGATACCAAGAGGCTAATAATGGTGGTCAAAAAGCAAAAAGGTAAAACACATAATATAATATTAAAAAATGGTAATAGTATTAATTTCCTTCTTTGTATCCAAAAACACTCCTAGGAGGAGATGAGGGGCAAAGAAGATTTAAATTTATACAGAAAATCAAAACGAAGTATTAAAATGTATTTAAAAACTATTAAAAATTTCATTTTAAAGAGGACACTGAGATACCTTTGTTAAGTAACTTGCTCAAGGATGGAAAAACTTGCAAGTGGCAGAGTTGAGATTTGAAATCAGGTGCCTAATTCCAAATCCCAGAAAGGTACCCCTGTATCAGTATGTCCCAAGTACACTGGCAGTCGGTCATAAAATGACTTTAGGCGAAATAAACTGGACAAGCTCATTTTAGAACTTATACATAATAAAATGTTAATTTTACAGTAACTGAAGTTTTCTTTTGAATAAGTATGTACAAGAAAAGTTTAGTCAACTCTGAAAAAGAAAGCAGCATGATGCATGAAAGGAAATATGGAAAAATAAAAATAGACTGATTTTCTGAGAAGGTGGAAATTTTTGTTGCTTTAAAAATTTTTCCTACAGTTCCAATGCCCCTAAAATGTTTGTGGAAAAAAAGGAAGTTTTTCTGTTCTAAACCCTTAAAACATTCTATAAAGTATGTTTTCCATTGGTTTGTCCCACACATTTTTAGTATGCCCACCGCTGAGCTCTTGTACACTTCTGGGTAAGCCTCTCTCTCCCTCAGGAAATAAATTCCTGGCATTTATCAGATTTTTTTTTTTCATTTTACCCTATCTTATCCAAAAGTTCCAGGACCAGGCCATTTACTATTTATTCAAAGGCCCCAGAAAATTTTTGCAAGGAAAAGACCTCAGAGAATCTGGTAGGCACATGCAAATAGTTTTGATAAGGGAAGGGTTACCGTGCAATTCCTTGAGGGCGCCTCTGTATCTGATGAGCTACCCACTCTGGCACCCCAAAAAGAAACTCCCAATTGGCAGAGGGGAAAGGACTCTGTTTCATCTTAAACATCCCCAAGGGGCCAGAGACCCGCTCAGGGACTTGTTCCCCATGGTCAGACATCTCTAATACACAGAGACAGTATGCAGAGGCCACCTCACCTTCTGTCAGCCTCGAGGCCAGCCACCAGGCCTGTTCTCACCCACCTGTGCATGTTCCCATTGGTGGTGAAAGACTGGCCGCACACCGTGCACTTGTACGGCCTCTCGCCAGAATGCACCAGCATGTGGCGGTCCAGGGAGCTGGCCGAGCTCAGGGACTTCCCGCAGATGCTGCACGAGTGGTCTGCCCCTCCAGTGTCCGTGTTATGCTGCAGAAAGCAACCATCGCAATGTCACTTAAGAAGATGGGTCCAAACCCAGCTATTATGAAATGCAAATTCAGAGCTTTACATAAAACGAGTAAAGCTTCTTAGCTCTTTTTGTTCATTTTAAACAACTTCCTGAATGTCAAAATCTATCAGGAACACAGGCAAATATTTTGTACAATCTTCTATTCATATGTTCCAGTTTTGAAAAATACTTCTTCTGTAAGGCTCCGAGATAGGTAGAGTCTTTGTAGATCTTTTCAGGATACACATAGAGATAAACTGACCACATATATTCACATGAGCAGAAAGACTCTCAGCTACTAAGCAAACACGTGAAATATGGTACTCATACTAAGTCAATGGCCATTCTTCAAGTTTGATGACTCATTCTTGCTGTCAGAGAAAGAGAACTGAAATTTGCACAGTTTAGAGTTCTGGTCCCTGAAATACGTTGAGAAGGAACATTTCTACCCAAACCCAAGTTACTAAATGATGCTATTATTCAGTGCCATGTTATGGTTTTAATATTGTCAATCCTTCAGTGTTCTAGATTCATCAATACTTTGTCATGAGTCAGCCACAGCAAGCAAGGGAGAGGGGTAAGTCTCATAATAAAGGAGGGGAACCGGAAAAGATCCCAAATCAAGTAAATTCCCGGCTGCATGACCTACAGTGATAGCGATATAAAGAACGGGGGTCTACATCTGCAATCTCACTGTACTGCAAGGAGACGGTGACTCCTAACTGACAAGTCACATATGATCAAGTCTTCTGCTGTTATGTGGCCAGTTAACTAGATGTTTGCTAAATTCTAGAAAGACAAACTGTGTTGACCTGGGACTTGTCACAGTAATACAGACACACAAGAATTATTTCATAACCACCCCTCAAAATTACTAAAATGTTTAATCTAAATTAGACACAGCCACAATTCACACATTAAGATCATATCATATTGCCCTCTTTTCGTGAAGAATGATTTAAAACAACAATACAAAAGAAGGCACAAACCTGGCGAATGTGCATAGTTAACTGATGCTGTGTAGTGCAAACCTTCTCACACAGGGGACAGTTATAGGAAGACTTCTCCTCTTTTGTTTCCTGAAAAGATATAATAAAAGGGAGAATCAATTTCAACTCACAGTAAACTAGCGCTT